AAAGGTGTTTCACATAATTTTACAAGGCCTGCGCCTGTGAGATACGATCAATAGTACATATCCGGATACGAACTCGATTACAAATTTTGAAAAATTGGAAAATCTTCTCTAGTTTGTTTACTTTTTCAAAAATTACAAAATTTTTAGTTAGTGATTAAGGTAGATAAACTAGAATCATATTCATGCCATCTCTTAACAGAACAAATGATAATTGTTTCTGAAAACAGCAGTTTATGACTGTTAATGAAACAGTGATTAGTTTCACAACTACTGTCATGGGTTTCCAAAAATTAAATAATTAAATGTGTATTTTTTGTATCCAGTGTTTTGTGACTTTTATATATTTGGGTGCGTACATTAGGTGCAAGTTTCGTAAAGTTGTGTAGAGCACCCTGTATGTAGGTAAAAAACAGGATACTTGTAACTTCTTGCGTGTTAAAGCAAATACTAAATTACAAACATTTTTATAATTTACTCAATCAATAAAAAAGGGCTGTTTTTGTAGATTTTTGTTTACATGTCTGTCCAATTCAAACTTTAATGGCCCTGTTATGGCTGCCCCAAAATCCCCCGAATCGCTGCAATCAGAGCATCTCCCATTGGCATTTATCCAAAATATTTCAATAAATTTCCCGTAATCCTATTAGCCGCGTCATCTTTGAAAGGGACTCGGAAACGTCGCTTTTTTCGTCTTTTCCCTCATACAATTGAAGTCGATTTTTACAAACCGCTTACCAAACAAATATCTAACGATAAACCTAATTGTAGGATAACAAATAGGCCGTGGCGTTTAAAACAATCGCCATGTCCTGCATCCCCTTGCTATCTAGCGTCCCTTGAGTCCCCTACATGTCCCCATTCTTCCGGTCGCCCCTCGACTCCTGGCCCATAAATTTCAGAAGCTTTTAATTTTATAATTGCCGTGTCGAGTTATTTACATACATATTTCGCTTTAGGCAGTTATGACTGCTTTATGAAGGGCTTCCGGGGATTTTTTAATACTCGACTCTTGCCATCCAAATATCGGGAAATCGATGAGAAAGTTTAGTGTCGAAGGCGAACTTAACCTCGATAGATTACTGACAGTTGACTTGTCGAAAGTCTTGAGCAAATGCATTATTCACTGTAAGTCGCCGCGTGGGTGCATAGGAAAGCAATAACAAGAACAATTCACCTCGTCGGGGGAACCCCTAACTATTACAGAGATTTACCGACAAGCAGTCAAACTGAAGGGCCGTTTCGCTTTAAATGCCCGCGCTAAACGTACCATCAGCAGTTAAGTCTCAACGAATTTTTGAGGAAACCACACGAGTACAACAAAAATTAAAGAATTTACACCGGAACGTTACAAAATTACACCGTAAAATTGTGCAAACACGATGAAAGACAAAATTGCCACTGCAGACATTAAATTGGTGTTTTATTTTCAAACGAGTGCCAAATTAATTGTTTCAGATGTGCCTCGAGAATATATTTAATTTTCCAGCGAAGCCAATTCGAGTTTGGAACATGATGCTCGCAATTCTTACAAACTATAAATGATATAAAGGCATTAGTTTGCCGTGTTTTCCTGCAGGAAAATTCATTCGAGGTGAATTCTCTGTCAACTGAAGCTAAATCCCATTCTGTTTTATTACACAATAAATTCTACCCAATTTCATTTGGGTAAACAATAATTTTAGTTAAATGTTTTAAATTAAATTTAAACAAATCCAGGATTTTTTAATACTTGCTAAAATGTAATTTTTACTCATACAATTTAAAAAAATAAAAGTTTATCAAAGACTGAAAATGCACTTAGACCGAATAGCTCTTCAGGGTCTTGTTTATTCAGCTGAAAACTGAAACAAAAACAAAATTATCATTATCATGGAGCTATACTAACAATTAAAAAAATAAAAAAGTTTGCTAGTCTTTAGAGAAATACAGATTTTTTTTCAGATATATGTATGTACCTACTAATGTTAATGTTTTGATTAAAATTCTGGTTGTTTTTTAAACTTTGTTTTAAAATCGGGTTTAAAAAACTAGTTTTTTTAATCTGTTATTATTTTTTACCTAAAATCAAATAAAAAATTTTCCTTTTTAAAAGAGTTTTGGTTCATAAAAGCTTATTGATTGCGACTGTTCTTTCATCTTGATTAGTTTGTAAACCGTTTCCTGGCGTTTGCGTCCGGGGTCAAAAACCCGATATTTTATATCAAGCTAGTGGTTTAGGAGAATGTAGTCTCTCACAATAGTTTTTAATTGAAACAAATAGCAAACCACAGAGCACCGTCTTATCGATTATAGAGGCAGGTAATTTCGCTGTGTTTATACAGTGAAGCCGTCTGGATGTTAAATTAAAACTGTGAAGCTTCGATACACGACCCAGAATCGAATTAATAACAACATCCTTAAAATGTGCTCCAGAAAAAACCATTAATTTTGATGGGACCGTGAACAGTTGGTGAAAAAGTTTTATCGTTGAGATGCGCAAAGTTGAATTGCGAGCCGATAAAGAATGTAAAATATGACGTGGTTGAGGAACGCGATTACAAAAATTAAGTTTTCTGTGGAGCTGTTAAAGGGGGCGACATTGCACGCAAACTTCTCGTACAGGATATTACGTCGGGAAATTAAGGCAAACGTGTCGGTTTAAGGCGAGGAAATCTTGTTTTTAATATTTTCGTTACAATTATTTAGATCTCAGTGTCAAGCCGAATTACTTCGTTATTTACTATCGTCAGTCACCCCGATAATAGCAGGGTTAATGACGCCAAAGACAGGCTGCCACAACATATTGACATATGTTAATAGATTGAACTTTGCTGAGGTGGGTGGCCCTCGAGGGCTATGTTCTTCGAAGACGACTGACACGCGAGGTGTGCTCTCTGGAGTAGGGACCCATTAATCAATACACCTCCAGGTTATTTATGTGCCCTCGTGATTCCTATTCAGACTTCCGGCTGGGCGAAAACTTGGCACAGGTATGTATGTTAATATATGTATGTATTTTAGGCACTTGAACATTTCCGACGCAAACTTTACTGCATATCAAGCGGATAAATTACTCAAATGTCCCACTAATTACTTAATTTGCTAACTAGTTTTTTGATTAAGCAGATACAATAATTAATCCTCGTTTAATGAACACGAACACGGCTCCATGTTTGCTCAGAGACTAATATTACTCGTAAAAAATAATTAAAGTGGTTTTTGACATAATTGTTCTTGATTCTTAATTATAGCAAAATTGAAACTTTTAAGAAAATTAAAAAAGTGTGGCGACAGGATTAAAACAGCTGCGTCTAGAAACATGTTTTATAATGCTGGAATTTTTTTATTAAAATATAATGTTATTACGTTAAAATTAATTAATCTAATTAGAAATTTTTTCAGCTTGACCAAATGTGTGTCACTGTTATTATTAATACGCCAATTTTTCGTTTGTTTTTAGTAAAAGATTCTTCTTTGAGGATTCTACGAGTTTACGTCTTAGTCTGAAAGTTTGTATTTTCTTTTTCAATAATAAATTGACTCCATTCAACTTGTTGACGGTGTCCGGATTCTTGCACGTCAACCAGCGTCGATAAAATCATATCTAATAACACAGCAATTTCTATTGTCCGCCTTATTCCAGTCTCCGTAGCGGCGTTCCCGGCGACCGCCTTGCCATTTTCCTTCACACAACCTCCGGATAATGGATTTTATCGGAATCACTCGACATGGAAGCGGACATTTAACAGCATACGTGGCCAATTTACCAACTGCTCAATTGATATTTGCCCGGACCTGCAAATATTTGATCCGGAATTCTTATATCTATTTTAATCCCTCGATATTTGTTCCAATACACCTGCGGGAATACAACTTTGGGTTATAACCATTTCATTCTGGCATCAAACCAGCAAGTAAATAAAAAACCAGAGAGCTTGTTCATAACCGAAATTAAAAGCTGGCTGACAAACCAGAAAACACAATTTTGACAAATGCCGGAAATTTACAATAAAACCGACTTGTTACAATAACATTTTGTTTAAAGAACAAACTTCATAACCTAGGAAATTCGGTTGTAAGCCGAAGAATATAGTTTGAGCAAAGAGAAGGAACTTTTGCTTAATTCGACTTCATCATATTCTAATCGAAAAGCATTAAAAAGTTTCGACTGTAATGAAGATAATTTCCAAAGCTAAGAATTTTAATTAAATCTTTAGTCTTAAACGTTTTATCTTCAAGGGACGCTTTGTCCGTTTCGACAATCGAATCACTCCATTAATGCTAATCTCCAAGTAAACGCTTAAAACTAAATTTTTATTCAATCGTTTAGTGATATTTAGCAATTCATTGATTTTATTACAACAAAAAAAATAAAAAAATAGTTTTTGATAATAGGTTTACTAATAATTTAGATTCAAATAAGAAACAAAAAAGTAATATCATGTTTCGACTTTTGCTTCTTATTTAATAATTTAAGACTAGTACTCTTATACCTACTAATAATATAATAATAGAATATAATAATATTTTGTTAATAATTGCGTAACTAATAAAAGGTTTATAGTGTTATTACGATAAAGCCTCTCAATTATTGACAAACTGGAAAGCAGCATCCGCTCAAGAGGATAAACCCAAAAAGCATTTAGTGCATAATTGACATATCGATTAGTCATAAGGTAATAAAGCTGTTGAATTCCAGTCACCATTGCTCCAGACATCCAATAATTAAACTGGATCCTTATTATTATTTCCACCAAATCAAATATTCAAGTCGAATATTGTCCCGGCGCCTCCACCACAGCGCACCAACTCAACTTTGACTCGGTACTATTTATTTAACGTTCCAGCTAAACCTATTAAATGTTATAATAACGGGTAATTATGGCAATTTTACTCGATGTTCATGATGTCGAGAAGAAGTGCGCGCGACGTCACAAGAACGACGTTATGGCTCCAACGGCGCTCATTCGGTTTTTCGACGCCGGAGCGTCAACGACGTTGACGCCGGCTTTGGGAAACTTACGTTGGGACGTGGACGTAGTAGTTTAGTCAAAAAAGTGATTTGTGGGTTTTAAAGCAAACATTGAATTTGTGTGGTGTTAGTGGCTAACAAAAGTGAAAGACATATTGGCAGGTAACTTTCAAATTAAGCGCAAAAACTTAATAACTTTGCGTTTGATATAAATTATTAGATTAGGAGACAATTTCCGTTTTATTCGAAAAATCAAGACGTAAAATAATTTATTCCAGACATTTGATTTCTTTTCTTTTAGATTCGTTTTGTGTGTGAATGAGGAAAAATAATTTTATTTGTATTCTACTTGCTCCATTATAGCAATATTTATATTTTATGTTAAAAGACAAAAGAAATAACAAAGCCTAAAGACACTTTAAATTATTTCAGTTATTCTTTAGTGTTGGTTTAACATTTCGAAATTTGATTTACATAATTTAGAGCTTCAGTTCAATCGAAAAAAGAAGTACAAACATAAGTTTTGGCATTCTTGTAGCATGCCTTTCGGTCATATTCTAAGGTTAATAAATATATTAATATTGATGCAATTCAAATTAATTACACTACAATAATATAAATAATAAAAGTTGCATGAAATAAATAGAATTAAAACAAAATATAAATTTTAATAAATTATTATTTCATATTTTGTGGTAACATTATCATCTGAAATATATGATAAAATTTAGATTAAATTAATTGCTGGGATTTGTACAATGTAAATTTAATCCTTTAGCTTATGCTATATTAGATAAATCACAAATTTTAATGCTTAATTTCAAACGAAATGTTATTTCGATTGGAAGTATTAATTTGTGAGTAACAAGTAAATAAATTTTACTGTATCACTTAAATTTCGATTGACACTTTTCCTCTATAATCGACACATTTCTAACATGACACTGTTTTTTTCAGGTGCATTTGAGCGTGTTTATGAAACCGTCAAACCCAGCTGATTTCCATATCGAGTAAATATCGACATATCGTGCAGTAACCATATCTAAAAGTCGTCTTTTCGTGTCTTGTGAACCGTGCGTAAAAAATATTATCAAACGATTCGTATTTATTATATACGTAAGTAAACGTTTGTGGTCGCGTATTCGTGTCGTCCGTGTCTCTGTAACTCCACATTCTTGAATAATAAAAGTGTGTAGGGTTTGTTTATCGGTTAACCGACTGCTCGCCTTCTACCTATCGTCCTGCAATATTCATATGAGGATGCGCGCAGGTATTTGAAGAGGTAAATCATTTATCTTTAATCTGTTATGTTGGTTGTTTGCTAAGCCGAAATTTTCACAGAATGATGGAAGGAAGGTTTTGGTCAACTTTTTCAGATAAATAACTGAATTTGATATAACAAAAAAATGGTTTTCGGATTTAAATAGGAAGGAAACCACGGCTCTTTCTAGTGAGCGAAAAATCTTTAAAATTTTTAAATACTTTTTGCAATATTTTTATTTATTTTGTACTCAATGTTAAAGAGAGCTTTTATCAACTAATTTCAGTAGATAATGCAGTCTTTTACCGTCTAGAAAAATAAAGTAATTTTTATCTACTGTTTATGTTTTATCAACTAATTTCAGTAGATAAAATAGTCTTTTATCGTCTAGTGAAATAAAGTAATTTTTATCTACTGTTTATACTCAAGAAATTCTGGTAGATGAGTATAAAATAAAACGAAATATTATACACGACGATAAAGATTGGTTATATATTCGTGAAAAAAGTCCACTCGTGACTTCGTCACTCGTAAACTTAACCTTTTCACTCGTAGATAAACAATTTCTTTATCGTCTTGTATAGTAAATAACTATTTTTGTTTTGTTTAAGGTATAAATATACCTAATTGTTATAGTTTATCATTGTCATTATAATACACCTACAAGTACCGTTAAGTATACTATTTTAATTTTTCTTGCTGTCTAATTCTAAAACCTGTGCACGCTTGTGATAATAATTAGTAAACTGTCAAATTATTTGTTTGAATTTAAAAATGTATGCATTAAAAAGTCTATTTTGAAAAACACTTTGTATATTTCCCATAATTTAATATTAAACAAATATTAACTAATAATTTAAAGCCTGAGGATGGCTATTTAAAAATGTTCAAGACATGTAGCATCGTTTAATAAATTTTGGGAGAGAAGGACCTGAATTATTTAACAACTTTACCCATTACGTAATTACCTCTCACTATAGACCTAAATACTAGGTATAATGTTTATTACTCTTTAATTAAAACAAGTAAACTATTATTCATTTTTAATGTTTTCCCTGCACATTATAAATAGTAGATTAGATACTGAGGTGGGAGGTGCTTCACTACCAAGGCGAAATTTGATGATCAAAGCGATGCGCCGCGGTTATCAATAAGCTGAGGTACGATGAAGCTACGACCACAAAAGGTTGTATACTATTGTATTCACAACCATCCTTCTTAAAAACAGAAAGCCATTAAAAAATTTTGAAAAACATGACATATGACAGGTCAAGTTGAGAAGTAGTGATTTCCATATCAGTTTTCGGGTTGGAAAGTGTTCATTTGCCAACTCAAACCGTCATATTACATATCAACTAATATGTACTTTTCACATACAATGTAATTTTATTATTGCTTTATGATTGTAAATAAAATATTTTAAAAGTTTTATTCAAAATTTTAAGGTTTTGTGCTTAATTTAATAATTTTTCAAATAATGTTTATATTTTATTAACACTTATTTTTTCGAGAAATTAAAGTTAAAGAATAACTTTTTTTAATATTTTTGTTTTATTAGCACAAAAACATTTTACAATTACATATAATGGTCTGGATCAGATTTCCTCAAGGTCAAACCTTCCATTCTATAAATTTTTGTTAGAAGTGGTTTTAGCTGTTCAGTTCTCTAAATTGTAATAATAAAATTTAAAAAAAATTGCTGAAGTAAATAACATTTTCTGAAGCATACAATGCAGTGAAAAGGTTTAACCGAGATAATATAAAGAGTTATGTGTTTATATTTCGCAGCGTCGTAGATTGTTTGACCGCAATCCTGATGAATGATGATACATTAGCCCGATTTGTTGTATGTAGTGACTGAAAACAGATTGTTCTCCTGAAATAATTTTCTTGAATTAATTAGTTAAGCTTTAATTGCGGGTGAAGTGCAATTAATTTTTCTTGATGTCAAAAATTCAGAATGAAGACAACAGTTCGTCACCTCTTTAATTACGTCAGCCTCTTGTTGAAGTGCAGCGTGTACAAAACCCTTGGCATTGTCTCGTTTTAATGACTATCAGTTTTGCTTTGTTTGAAAGTACAATGAGTGTCTGAGCGTTTCCGGAATTTTTCGGTTGGATAATAATTAGCTTTGCTCACCTCTTAATATTTTTTGCGAAAAATTATTCGCGTTAATAAAAGTAAAATATGGTTGCGGTAAATTTCTCTCTTTAAATATGCGGGATTCGTATTAATAAAAGCTGGAGTTGACAAACTCTAATCTCCTAAATAAAATATTCCAAAGCGCGTCCCTAAATTAATTCACCCAAAATGCAAATACAGTTTACGTTTTTAAATCAGTGTGAAAAGTTGAATGTCTCAAAATCACGCATTTTGCGATAAATCTTCATTTAAAACTTTCTCAAAAAATCGCCGCTCTTTTTGTTGCTTTCGTAGTATAGCAAATCTTCTGGGACATAAAGTGACCTCAAAGCACAATAACTTGAAAACTTATTATAGAAAATTTTAAAAAGTTTTTCCTAAAAGTTGCTAAATCTTCAAATGTGAAAAATCAACTATGACATGCTGCTTTTCTCAATAGCAAAATTATCAATTTTTGTGCTACTAACTATGTGAAAGAATTATTATCAAACTCTATTAAATTTAGAGTGACTTTAAGAAATATATATTTCGGCTTAACAAACAGGTTTAGGGTTATGTAAACTTGATTAATACTCGTATCTCCCCACAGCTCTTTGCCACTGCAAATAAAGCCACGACAAGAGTAAATAACCAGAGGAGACGGAACACAAAAAAGTTTGTCGTTCATAATTAATAAAATAAACAGGCGAAAAATGTCGGAGAGCGCATATAATTCGCCCTTGTTCAGCAGGAGGTTGACTGAATCCTGCTGTAGTTCTCCTGCGAGAAGTATAGGAACGCATACATCCGACACTCTGACGGATTCCGACGGCGAAGGGGACCAACTATTCACCGAAATTCCTACAACTCCGGATCAGACCGTCATAGCTGGATGGCTGAAGTTCAGGGACAATAAAAAGGTAAAATTTGTTATTTAAAAATTCAAGCTTCTGTATATTATTTTTAGATCGCATACGTGTTGTGACAAAATAAGCAATAATTTCCAAGTTTTTCTAAGTTATTTTTATTGTACAAATTTTTGTCTCATTAATAAATAAAGTGAAATATCTCAAATAAAATGTAGCACAAAAATAACATTGACACTCAGCGACTCGGAAATAGAATTTTAATGACGTGATAACGGCCAAAGCTTTTGAATAAAATATAATAGACTTACATCGATATGTTATTTTGAGAGCCATTGCGTGAAATTACATAAAACAATGGGGGAATTCTTCAAACTTTTTGACTTTTCTTTATAATTACTGAAATTACGTGTAGTCAAGTTGCTTTGACCACTGTTACAACATACACAGCTTGTATTAATAATACATTAAAATAATTGATGAAAAACGTGAACTAATGTATTTTAGTCACGAAAGAAAATCAATATCGAACACAAATACCATCACTTTTTGCTTTGTACAAAACTTTAGATTTCATTATACAAATTAAAATTCTAGTGGTGACGCTCTAATCTTGTAGCAAACAATTTTTCGTGCGAATAGTTTAATTTGCTTAACTATGGGTAAGTTTATGGAACGCAAATGATTTGAGGATGGAACAGTTGGCAGAACTTTATCAGTATCTCTTCAATGAACACGCCATGAAATCTACTTAGCAGAGGGATTATAGGAAGTTTAGTTTTGGAGGGGTAAAAATTGAGGATTAGCAAGAATAATCGATAAGACGTCACTTAATACCTTTTCTGGCGCATCTCCCCAACAATAACACACTATATACATGTGAAATAAGTTTTCTTTATCGACGGAAACAAACCGACGCGATTAGAGAGGATTATGACGCTGTAACTCACCAACATCTCCAGCGTTTGTTTTGATGCGAAAAGAAAACTTGAGGGTTTGAAATTTGTTTAAGACGGTCGCAGAGAAATTAAATTGAGACCAAAATCGATTCATTTTACAGGTTTGAAAAAGCGAAAGCTTGCGTGCTGGAGTGATATGAAATGGCGGCTTTTCAGCGAAATGGTAATCGTTAAATGAAAATCGGAAGAGTAGAATATTGGTCTAAAGCTTACACTCTAGATTACTGTAAAATTCAACTAAACAAAAATTAGTACTATCTATTATTAACTTATAAAACAATTTTGAAAATGAATATAATATTTGATAAGTGTTTGTTTTATTTTATCGCTCATTTGTCATGAATGTTTTATTAATGTAAACTATGCAATTTTTACGTCGTTCCCAATCTCTACGAAGTTTGCTTGACTGAAACTTAACCATCCAGACGAAATCTTTTTATAATTTGTGAAGGAGCAAACTTGCAGATTCGCTAACTTTTCTCAAGTTCTATTTGTTTCTCTTCATTTCTGAATCATTTAATTACGACTTTTATAACTTTATTGGGTAAGACATACTCAAATCCGATAAAATCACAGCTAATAAATTGCAGTTTTAATAGTAAGAGTTAAACTATAAATATTTAAATGAAGTCATGTGAACAAATGATTTAAGTAGTGAATAAAGAACCGTTTCCTTATCTAGGGTATTGTAAGTTACACGCAATCGTGCTGGCGAATTGTAAGTTGCGAAGGCAGGCGTAAAATCAAATGAAATATGTGACTGTCTTGGGGATGTAAAACTTTGCTGAAATTTCGTTTTTAGAGGCTATTGTACGAGTAGTAATGTTAATATTCAAACAATGGTATAAATTATGCCGTAAACGGAGACAATTAAAACAAAGTCAATAATAATCATGAGCTCATTACGAGTTGGGCTATGAAACAACTTCGATTAAACACAACTCGAAGCCTCCCTTTGTACAACCACCAGAAAGACTGTTCTACGCTCCCCGGATATCGGCCGGAGCGAAACCACAATAGTTGTTACACGGTGGAATTTAAGTGGCACTGATATATAGAGCACACTGTTAATGGTACAACTTCCCCTCAAAAATAAACACTAAGTTGGCGGAGAAGGATGACGACGGTTTCACAACAACGCATAAGCTTCCTAATAACTTAACAGTTACTTCAATGCTGCTACTTATTCTTTTCATTCCCCAGAGACTCTTGCTTTTAGAAATAGAAACTGGTCGTTGAACCGCTCTTTTTCTAGAATTACTAACTAACCAAAGCTTTGCGAATCAGTGGCGTATTTTAATTAATTAAACCGATATCAGGTCGGAACTATCGCGCATTTTAACTCACTTAAATTAATCCCTTGCGTTTCATAAACTCTGAAAAATTATTTAAAGAATGAAGTTCGTTTATGAAACGATGAATGGCTCGTTTGACCTACGGTCTCTAACGAGATGTCGCCGGAAAATCGCAGCACTCGTTAGGTTCTGAAAAAAGGAAACAACAGAGAAAGAAAAGAGACACAACTGAAACATTGCTAATAAAAGAGAGGCATGCTCAAGGATTATTGCACGCATTCGTAAAGAAGCTTAACGAACACTTGAAAGACGGGAGAATGTAAGGAGATTGTGCTCTTGGATAATTGGTGATGGACACGTCGAAAGGAATTTGTGTTTGGAGAAAACGAACGATGGCTGCAGATTTATTTCGTTTGAAATGTTGCTTAAAATGAAGTTTTTCGCTGTTTTCGTGTCAATTGGAATTTAGGGAATAACTTAAACTGACTTTTGTTATTATTATATATATTTTTACGGGTATATCAGTTTGTTTCTGCAAACAGGGGTAGCTGTTGAATTTTAATGGAGCGTGGGTTGATAATACATGACCGTATCAAATTAGCGAGAATTGTAAACAATATCGTAGGGCTTTAATCTTACGCCTTTGATGTTTTGCAAGCGTAACTGTTCATAATAGATTCGAAAACATGTGATACAACACACGTTGCTCGCCGACTTCACCGATTTCTGATTGCATTTAGCCTTAAATCGAATCGTTTGTAAACGTTAAACTTGCTTTACGTCTTTATTTCTTCAAACTTCTAACACTGCTAAGCTGTTTCTTGCCAATGAATCACTTAAAGTTGTCCCATGTGTTACATTACGTTTGCAATTCGCTCTAAATAATTCATTTAGAGCTTTGCAAAGCACTTGAGCTTTCGCACACGTGTTTTGGTGTCTGAAAAGCGCGCGCATTTGCAAAAGCCTATCCCGTGTATAGATAAATTTACATATAAATATGCAGACGAAAAATTTACATTTGTATTGAGTATATAACTCTTACGAATGTCTTTTTTATGTCTCTTGTTGTAGTCGCATTTTCGCGAAATCTGTGTTTTGTATCTCGGAAATTTCATCGTACTTATCCGGAGTTATTATTGCAGATTGTAAAGACCGTGATTAAATTTTATTAAACCATTTTTGTTGGCTCCAAGACCTTATAAAAACAACGTTAACGTCGTTAGCTTAATTTACTCACTTCATTACGCGACGTCTGATAAAGTTTACATCGATATGCAAAGTAGGCACCACTGTACCGGATTTTTTTATTTTTTGACGGCTTTAGAACAACCCAAAAATTTCCTAAAAAAATAAATAATAATTTATCTTAATTTTATACTCGTACTTGTATCAAATTATTGTTTTATTTTGCTCAACCCGCAGCAGAAATGATTCTCAAGGCATTATTTTGTATAAACACAAGCACTTTACTTAGCTTTGGCTATTTTTGCGGTAAGAAAATAATCCAATATGAAAATTTATCTTACAGGTAGGATAAACAAATCTTAAAAACAAAGCTGTTTTTGTTTGTACGTTTTTATCTTTAAATCAGATTTTAATTTGGTGGATTTTAAAGTGGTTAACCGTGTGTCTATTTAGCTTGGAAATAGTCGATTGTGTGGAGTGGTTGAATAACTGGAGCTTAAACTCGCTTTGATTGTTTAAATAGAGAACATTTAGACTTTATGCAATTTGATGAGACCGAAATGAGGAATCGGCCAGGCCTAATAAGAAGCCGGCGGCTTGCAGCACTCAACAGAGCAATTAGATTATCGATAATAGGTATTCTCCACAGTCGGCTAAAATTGTTGCCAAAGAAATTTAACTTGAAAATTTAATTTCGCTGACGCTATAAGGGGAAAGAAATTGAAAATTTTTTCATTGACGATTAATTACGTAAATTATTTCGAGAAACAGTGATCGATAAAGGATTTTGGGTTCGCGGTGTGTTTTGTCGAAGAGATTCCTAACGAAGCTTTCTGAATTCCGGAGGCCGGTCAAAGCTCCAGTTTGATGTGGAAAACTCGTCTAGGCTCCAGATGTTGCCAGATTACAACTTCGTTTCGGTTATCAATAGAAGTTGCAACTTTTACCGGTTGTATAATTTATGCTGAAGTTGGTATCTCTGGAATTTCCCCTACTGTGTTCCTTCAATTCCTTCAGAATTAATTGCAGAATAGTTGCATTGGAAAAATAACGAATTAATTTCAGCGACGATCCGTTTTCCATTATTTATGCTCTAATTTATTTGGAACAGTACAAGAAACCTTCCCGACCAACCTATAAAGTACCGAACGGAATTGCTAGTAAAGGTGGGTAATAGGACCGTCTCTTCTAAATTATTGACTAGCTGCTTCAGGTGATCCAAAGATTCTTCCAAACACAAAATGCGGAAAAATCACCCCTAAAGACACACTGTTTCGCTCATTATCTTTAATAACACCGTCACGGAAGAATTATTGCGAAGGGTGGATATTATTAAATTCGAATATGTTTTAAACATAAATAAATTTACATTTTCTATTAAATATGCATTAGAACTGCCGCAATAAAAAAGTGCAAACCAAACAAATAGGAACGTATTTTAAATTCAAATCATAATTGTATCTCCTTTCAACTGAAAAAATATTGGCAAGTTCACAACACAATCTGTTTGGTCATTTATCATTAAGAGAAAAAACTTATCACGAAACCAGACACAAGAAATGGGGTTTTCCATTGAGGAAAACAACGCACTTTATCACGCAATTATACCGGGTGTTCGGACGATACAACACAAATAAAATTTATGTTTAAGAAAAATTGTATTGAGTCTAATTATAATGATTCCAGTTGCAATAGAAAAGTAATTTAGTCTGAATGTCTGTTATCTATTCATCATTTAATAACTTTCTGGCACCCACTTAATTAATTAAATTGAAGTTTGAAGAAAACTAAACAACTTTTCTTCATTAAGTAACTACCCTCAGAGTTTCCGCATTGATTTTTTCATAAAATGGCAAGATTAAATCCGTCACGTTACCGCACTCCCACAACATAAATTTTGATGGTTATCGAAGACGCACGCTTTGTGTTCTTAATGCAAATAAAAATTAGGGCTTATCAGATTCAAGAGAGTTACACGTGTTTTCTACAAATTTAAATTGAACTGAACAATGTTTGTTTCGAGAAATTGCTGCGTGTGTGGTAAGACATCCTGTCATCACGCCTATGGCAACCTATAAGTTCTCTTGAGCTTCTCATTGTTACATGATAATCACACAGGCTTGGGGATTTCATAATTTACTTCAGCCACTTAGAAGCCTCATTCTGCCTTAGCGTCAAGATGAACGAACTTACTCCCTCTGAGACGTGGCATCATTGTTTCTACGTCTCTTCCATATAAGTACTCCCTTTTAAAGCGTCATGCCTACTCTAAATATCTAAAACTCAAGAAGTTTTCCTTCATTCTCTGAAATACAAATCCATTTTCGTCAGTCCTTGGCTAAATATACCATTGTTGATTTAAGACTAATTGGAATTGGGTGACTTCTTGATGGGCTTGGTATAATTGATTCACAATTAAATAAGTGACACGAAGTCGAAATAAAATTTAAGAAATATTATTCCTAGTGGGCGATATATCAAGGGAAACAGTTTTACTTCAAATTTAATTTACGCTATTTTAAATGTAAATTGTGTAATTTATTTTTGAACCAGATCACATTTTATTACTTGCTTGGAGGCTTCTTGAAATTGACGCAGTTAATTTTAAAAGAATACCTACACAGAGAGTTTCACAATAATGTTTCTTTAACGAAATCACAATTTATTTTAATTTGTGGAATCTACAAGATGTTTCAGAAATATAAATGTCAAAATTTATTATCAGAATTTTTTCCATGTTCCTAGTATCTTATCGTACTTAGAATTTTTGTCTGTGATATGAGTTCTGAAACATCCTGTATATTAAATATCGTATGATGTGACAATTTATTGATAATTTTTTAATTTCTATTTTTTTGCTTTCAGTTATCTGTCATTTTTAAGTCAAATTTTAAATGCTTCTTGATTTTTTGCGGTTTTGTTAATTTTGTTATTTATTGAAATAAAGTAAAATTAAAATGGTCTGACGCACATACAATATGTAAATTAGTGCAAAAGTATGCATTATAAAAAGATTTAATAATTGATACAACTTTTTTCAAGTTTATATGCATGAATCAAGCAGACTTGGTAAGACTGCTCAACAATTTTAAATTTTAATGTTTAAAAATCGTTAAAATCAATACAACTCTCGTGTCTATGTCGATAATAAACGGGTTACACCCCCAGCCAAAGGTCAATAACTGCATCAACTTTTTACAAGAGTAAAACACGAACATCTTTAACCTATTGTCTTGAATTGAATTAAACATAATTTCAGTTTTAACACTTGTGTAATAATTTAAATATTTTTTTTAAGTAAAGTAACAGTCTCCAACATGCTATTCCGTAGGTCGTCTATCACACGATACAGGTAATTTACTGCTTAAAAATGCACGAGTCGGTCCTTTGTAACTGCTGAGCGCAATTACAATTTCCCTGCTGCACGGAATCCTGAAAATTGCATCGGACTATACTGCGACACATCAATGCAGTAATCGTACCGTTCTCTGTGCTAATTAATTATAAGCTTTGACGTTAATTAAAAATTTAACAGATAATACTCGTCTCGATGCGCACAATAAGACGGATACGGATATGAACTTCTCTATTTGGTGGATTAGAATCAAGTTTGGCAGTTGAACTTTACCTAACTAACTTGTTGACAAAGTTCGAATTTAGGGTAAATTATCATCACTGAAAGGAAAATAGATTAGCTCCGTTAATAGGTTACAGTCGATTGAAGACTACGTGTTCCCAAACGTAGATTAAAAATTAGAACTAATTCGGAGACCTTGCAAAGAAGTCACAGTTAATTAAAATTCAGGAATTTGCTTTGTGTGGCAATAAAACGCAATGTTTAGGATGTTATGCAAACAATTTTGATTTCAATAAACGTGCTTTATTTGAGCTTTCGCCGCTTAGTATGTATGTAATGTTGTTCCCTTTTGTCAGACCGACTTTCGAAGTCTGAAACGATAAATTCCCTTTTGCCAGTAGTCCAAAGTTTCTAACTAGCCGTTAAAGAAGTCGTTAACGGCTTCACCACTATAGTGATTATTTTCCGATAATTTTGCTTCACTTGTAAACTAGCATAAATTCTCGCCATAAACCAGAACCTAGGAGTGGATCATGACAAAGCGTCCTGTCTTCTTCGTTATATATCGTACTAATGCTTCTCTTGTTGTTACAGTGGAAGCAGAGATGGGGCGTCATCACTAAACTGTCACCAGCTGCAGGTGAGTTTGCTATTAATTATGTCCCAATGGCCGCTAACGTTGTACGTCTTGTTGCAAATCAAACGAGATGTTGTTTATTATGCAAATGTTTGATCCTAAATTAACACTCTAATCCGTGTTGGTTTTGTCTTATAAAGTTTACTAACATTGCGGTTATAAGTTCCAATAGGGAATACGTTCGGCCACCCTTGACATTTATCAAAATAAAAAGGAAATCTAATTTAAACCTCGCCAAATTGGGTTTCACCAAATGTGAAGTTTGCGAAAATACAGTTACAACTTAAAAATTTTAATCAATGTTTCGAAGTTTTGACAAAATGTTATTCTTTACAAAGTTTGAGATTTTTCCACTAACACTTTTCTAGTTGAGTTTTCTTAATTATGCCAAATTCGCTTGATTAACAGTGTCGGTGGCGGGTTTCGTCTGTGGAATTCGGTTTAAATCGGCCGTACCATAAAAATACACAGCCGAGATTAATCACATCCATTCATTTTCAACGCACGAACGAAATTCGTCCCTTGGGCACTTTAAGGTGTGACAAAGACCGGCATATCTCGTTTGTTCTGTGGTTAGACGAGGAGGCTAGTCTCGTGCGTGTGCGACAGTTTCATAAAACACCTGTTTTTCGATACACTACACTCAATGGTCTGTGATCACCCATAACTCATACGTGGGGTGTGTCGATAAGACCACCGAAGCAATTCTTTTGATAAATTATTTTGCGCACACAAGTGTTTGCGATGGCAAGGTGATCTTTTTACCGGCTTAATATAGACTTGGAGATTCTAGCGGTTTAATATCCAAGTTTTAAAGCAAAAGCTGGTGTAATCCGGGTAGCAAGCAAATAAATTCCAAAGAATTGCTCACATTTACTCTAAAAATTCAAGCGGCGGTGTCGTACATCCAAAAATGCATACAACTTAAAATTCATGGCAATATGTGAGCTTTATATCTTTGGAAGGTTTAAGAATATGTGACCCTCGAGCTGCCGTCAAGAGCTCGCGACTATTTTTATTACGGTGCTACGTTTGGTGAGTTAACACAAGAGGTCTTGAGCTGAATTAGAGAGAGTAGCTTTTTTAGGTCATTAAAAGGACTATTCTCCCCGACACACTTTTTTTCGAACTTGGGGCATTTACAGTTATTTATAGCGATTGGTGAAAATTGCCCGTAAAATCAACGACCTGGCTTGTTTTTTCTCACAAGTTTGAGCGCGAGGGAAAACTTTTATAAGCTTTTCCGGCTGTTTCTTATTGGAAATTAATTTGTAGCAAATCTTTGTTGGGAATTGGGTCTAAACCAAGTGCAATTTAAATAAAAAAAACTGTTGTAAACTTTCTAGTAATTAAACGCATGTGCTGTAAAGTGTTGCAGCAATAAACAAACATTACGTAGAAACCGGCGATACTGTTGAGTTTTTTGCCAACAAAGTGTGAGCTTTGCGCATTTGCCTGATTGTCGATGTAATGTATTCGGTAAACTTGGATGGAAGCGGGAGGATTATGCTTATCCGAGTCGGACGTGTGAAAAGTACCCTTCGAAAATTCAGAATTAAAATCCCCCCTGCGACGAATTTAACTTTACCGCCAGTAATTGAAAAAGTAACGGCAGGGCACACATGTGGATTGCTTTAGCAAATTCCATTATAAACTGTTAGAGTTATTCATTTTAATGTTGCAAGAATGTGCTGTGAGACGCTACTTGATTCGATAAATTCTTTGCAACAGTTGTGTCGTTTTTATTTGGAATTAGCCGCAGGAATCAGATACTTGTGCGCTGGTAAGGAGCTTATGCCAGACTCTGGTATGATTTTAGACACATCATTTTCATAACTAAATCCTGAAATTCTTAGACAACTAACAAATGGTTTAACAAGTCGTGTAGCTGCTCCAAAATTATTTTTTTTATATCTTTTTTAATATTTGGAATTGTAACGAACCGTTTGGTGAAATACGAGTTCAATATCGGCAAGATATATCACTTGTGCAAAGCGTGATTGTGGGTTTGTTTAACGTGACATGTAGCAAAATCTAGGAGAATTCAATAAGACCTATGAAAAATACATGACTGCCTCGTTTCAAACTACAAAAGATTCACTGAGTCTTTTGCTTGGCTATCGAATATATTATTTGATAGATCAATACAGGTTCGAGTCTGAGAGTTGGTAAAAAATTAGAGATTGTTAAAGTCGCAATTAAATCGATGTAGTTTTGCTTACTCGACCTTTTTGTCCGTTTCAGACAAATGATCTCGTTTTATATTTTCATTGCCGGATAATTTCATTTTGAGCGCTACGTCAGCAGTTCATGAGATCTCTATAACGATATTGTTACACTGAAATGTTCGATGGGTCCTGTCTTGTTTAGGCGAGCTTTCAGATTTTCCAACTTTTTTATTTGAACTTAATTAAAAGTAGTCAATATTTTTCTCGTTATTTACACGATTGATGAAATAACAGCTTTATTTGAGAGATTTTTAAATCTCATTCGGGATTTACTTAAACCTCAAACGAATATTTCGCAAAAATGTATTGCGAAATATCTGTTTTAACAGATCAGCAAAATTGCGATTGAGGAAGCAATACGATTTCTGAAATGAAAACATTAAATTGAGGCGTTTAGAATTAAAGTAGCCTATCCCACAAAATTTATAAACTTAGTTTTCCTCTCAGACCAACTGTATTGTTCAAATTTTCAGTAAAACACTGGTCTAGCGTTATAACAAAAAATATGAACTGTAAAGTGATTGTATTTGAAACAAAATAAAACTTTAAAAGCAAAAAGTTTAAGTATTATTAGGATTTTGCCTAATGTAGATAAGGCCACTCTAATTTTCAATGCCTCAACTGTGTTAAATTGTATGTATTTTTTGATACTCATTATTACCTTTTTGCAATGTTGCTAGTTTACCGGAGGGGAAAAGTCTAGACGAGAAATCAAACATTGTGAAAGGAAATTGAATTGAAGCTTATTTATTGTCTTGCGAAATTTTCAGCGTTAAGATGAAAAGAATTTTCTACTAGTTTTCTTCCATGTGTGTTACTAAGCCAAGCAACGGATACAAAACAATGACTTGGAAAAGTAAATCTAACCACCACTGCAACAGAGCGCAGTAAGTGCTTGTTTCAAAACTAGTGTATTTCCGTTTTCTTGTAAAAGTATTTGTTTTACAAAATTATTATAAAATTGTAGTTATATTTAGTTTTAACTAAAGTAAAAAAATGTAGTGTTAGTAAATTGTTAATTGTGTGTATCTCGCTGGATGTGTATTTTTCAATGATTGTCTTCATTACCGTTGTGTCATTGTTTTGTTTGTCAGCCGTGTTAAACCGTGAAAAAGCCTTTGAACAATCACACTCGTAAGGTATGTAATTATCCATTCAGTGTTTTGTGCGATAAAAAACAAGCTAATCGGCAAATTCCGTTACATTATAGGAAATCCGATGGTCCAGTAAACAGCTCCAGGCATCTGTTCGGTTTTTTTTTAGCTTTTTTCAATCAAATCTATGCCAGAATTCATTCGATTCAAAATCATCGGACCAGTCTTTGATTTCCATATACTCACCAGTATGAGTTTTGTTTGACTAAAAGCGATGCCTTCTTGATCTATCTGGGCCAAATTGAAAATGCTAGTAACACGCCTAGGGCGTGCAGCAATAACTTCTTAAACACAATGACAATATCAGAGGGCGCCAAGATTCCCGCTGTTATCGCGCATATGCTTCACTTCCGATTGCATCAAACTCTTCGACAAACGCAATAACAACACATAGTGTCTATAGCTTTACGAAAGGAAGCAAATCGACTTGCGATGTCTCCACCTTTTCCCTCGACGTTTCTCGAAGATTGTTTTTACGACTCGGGCTATTCGCTGATATGTGTTTTCAGGCGGAGGGAGCCTCTCTAACAACAAAATGGGAATTTTATATATGAACTCGGTGTTATAGAGATGACACGTCTGGAAAAATATGGACTGCTGTAATAAGTCGCGAGATAAAACCGGCCACAACATCGATTTTTCTTCAAGAAAGATGGCTCATTTCGGCCAGTGTTTTAAAACTATTTATTTGGCAGACGCAAAGGTAAATAACAGCAAGTCATGTAAGATGTTAGATATCTAGAAAATTAGAAAGATAAAATCGCGAGATGGTAGAAAGCAGAAGAATATAGCCAGCCACCCCATTGAAAATGAGAAAAAGGGAATGCATCGGCGCCATCTTATAAATATTTATTCGGAAGTTATCTTGGGAGGTAATAATTTTAACCCAAAATATTCCCTCAAGACAACAATGCTTCTTAGTTTTTCCTGTCATTTCGGAGCTATTTAAATAATTTAGTGGCAACTATACTTACTGGTCCGGTTTAACAAGTGTAGCCTAGCCCTCCCCCTGAATTTTGTTTGAGAGGAAAATAAAATACTAAAAGATCGAAAAAATGATAAAAGTCCCTTTAGGGTTTGACATCTAGGTCATCATTCTGAAAGATATAACTTGATTATTACGAACAGCGTCGCCAGGTGCTGATTCTGACTATTTCTTTTTTCGTTCATATTTTATTTCGAATTCTATGACGTGACGGGGATTTGGAAATATACACGACACAATAACGGGGATGTTGGGTTTTGATTGAACGTTAAATGCGTGCATCATGTGGAATATTTTATGTCTTTCGGAAGAGAAGAGAGCTCGCTGTCGTATGCAACGATGGGTGGAATATAAGGGACGATTATTAAAACAAACGATGCAATTTTCGCCAGAGACACAATTACTATGCAGACATAAATCGCTGCTGAATACAGCCAAGCATAAATTTAATTATAAAAGAATACGAAGCCAAATTTCTTTCACCAATGGATCAGACGAGACGAGAAAACAATTTCAGAAAAATATTTGTCGTGATAAAATATCGACAAACATTTACTGCTAATTTATAGCATCAACTATCAATAAATTTCTCTTCAGTATCGTGTCGATTCCGACATCGAAAGGAGTGTAAATATT